AGTTTGTTGTGTATGGGACTGCATAGCCACAAACAGGTTAGGGTGCCCATGCTAACTCATGCCCACTGCAAAAGCACCTACAATGGGCATCAGAGCTGGGCAACGGAAGGTGGTGGCCTAGTTTGATGAATTACATCATGTGGATGGCTGGGTGCATGTGTCACTTACTGAGGGAAGAAATGGCACAGGGTGCCCTATGAGAAGGCAAGCTGGCGGAGGCAGTGTGATGTTTTGAGCAATGATCTGCTGGGGAAACCTTGGGTCCTGCCATATTACATGTGAGGTTACTAGGACATGTACCACTTACCTAAACATTGTTGCTGACCAAGTATACCCCTTCATGGAAACAGCATTCGCTGATGGCAGTAGCCTCTTTCAGCCAGAAAACCTCTACCTTGCCACACTGCAAAAATGGTTCAAGAAAGGTTTGAAAAACACAAGAGTTTGGAGGTGTTGACTTGGCCTCCAAATTCTCCAGATCTCAATCCAATCATCTGTCGGATGTGCTGGAAAAACAAGTCTGATCCACGGAGTCACCAACTCGCAACATAAAAAAAATTAAAGGATCTGCTACTGACGGCTTAGTGCCAGATATCACAGCATACCTTCAGGGGTCTAGTGGAGTCCATGCCTCCACATGGGTCAGGGATGTTTTGGCGACAAAAAAGAGGGACCTAATTAAAGTTAGGTGGGTAATCATAATGTTATGGCTTATCAATGAATATTGTCCAGCATAGCATTTCGTTAAATTTTTGCCCAAGCACTTGCGTCAAGTTTCACTTAGCTCAGATCCCCTGAACTTACTGTCCAGTACAAGATCACAAGGGACAGAGCCGTCTCCAGCAGAAGTCCATCTACTAGCTTGGAGAAGAGAGGAAGGAAGAGAGGGGAGTAGGGATCATGGGCATGACTTACCGGTTTGTGGGGAGAGACAACTTATGGGCACACACAAGAATGGACACCCTAAAACAGAATACTAGGGCCAGTGCTCAGGGAACCAGCTGATTCTGCATAAAACAAACTTTTAAATCAAGGAGCAGCATTCATTGTAAGTGATTTAGTCAGTATTTGAAATAGCTTGAAAATATTTTGACTAATATAATTTTAAGGGTCCATGCAAACTTTTCCAGAGCGGTGACAAGTGAAATGTGATCCCACGTTGAGTGTCGCCCTTATGGAATGGTACCTCAAGACATTAACCCAACACAGCTCATATGAATGTGTGTTGCAGCACACTAACTCTACCGTGCGTTATGTAACATTACCGTGTGCTGCATTTGAAAAAAAAATCCTCCATTTTACTTCCGCTTATTTATGGTTCCTATAAAAATGCAACCCATGAGAAAAAAACAAAACAAAAAACAAACAAAAAAAGAAAAACCACACACACTAAGATTTTAAAATGGATCCTAGTAGACCTGTTTATTTCCAACATCCAATTAGATGCAGGAAGTGTTTAAAAATAATATAATAGGATTGGATGTTTCTAGTGAATACAAGTTTCTTAGCCTCAGTTTACACTTGACCAAATCAGGTCACATCACCACATGCCACTTTTACACTTTAGCAAACCAGGTACTATGGTTTAAGCATGATGCTGAATGCTATGCACTGCTGAATAGATTGTGACTGAGGGAAGTATGATAAAATATTACAAAATTGTGGAAAATTAATTAGTAATTTACTCAGCAGTGTCTGGCAATGCTATATATACACTTCTGTTCATAAAAGCAGAACTAAAGTCTCACTGAAAAACTGCTAGGAGCAAAAAAAATTGGTAGAAGAGGCATGCAGTGTCTTTACCAAAAAACAAAAAAAAAACTTTCCCCCATGCTCCTAAAAGGTTTATATTTCTCTGTACACTGCACAGTATCTACGCCATGCAACCTAGGCATGCTAAGAACAGAGCTAGATCTCAGGGAGCATGCAACACAAATGCACAGCCCAGAATTACATGATCTATGGCCAGTAAGTCAAGCAGAGCATTATGGGACCCGGAAGAAGCGTCAGAGATGGCAGTACCTAACAGACATCTAGATGCTGGACAAGGGCACTAAGCCCTCGTTCACACCTGAACGTTTTGTAGCGTGTTCTACGCTCAACGAACGCTCTACAAAACGCTCAAAAATATAAATACCATTGTATTCAATGGTCTCGATCCCACCTTGGCGTATATTCCGCCCGTCCCTAACACGCTACAAAACGGCCCACGCCTGAAAAGGTACAGGTACTACTTTGGGCCGTTTTGTTGCGCGTTTCCATTGGGCTACAGCCAAGTAGCCTTCGGAAACGCGCCACTTTACCGCGAATCGCGGTAAAAAACGCACGACAGACACGCATATGCAATACACCTAGGTGTGAACGAGACCTAAGTTAGTGTGCCATATCGTGCATGCGCAGTTTAGTTATGGTTTAAAGAGGTGTGTGTGTGGGCATAATATATATTAGATATTTTGCACACTTCTGTAACTTCAATAAAGTGCAAGTAAAATGTAACCCCCTTAGAATATGAATACAGAATGCAGAGCTGCACTCCTTGGAATATTTCTTGGCCAAGCTAATTCCTGCAGAGACTAAGTGCCCTGGAAACGGAGTAGTATAAAAGAGGTTGATCTTTGCAATATTGGACTTTGATTAAAAGGCATGGAGAAAAATAAAAAAAAAATCAGTGAAGGAATAACTGTTTTTCTACTTACTGCTTCTGCACTGGCTAGAACATAGAGTAGCAGATTTAATTTACTAACAAGGAAAACGGTTAAAAAGAGACTGCAGGAAGTAGGAAGTTATAAAAGTATGACTATGTTTAGGCCAATGGAGTTAAGGGGGCTGGCATGTTTTGGACAATCAGCTTTGGTTTATTAGAAAACCTAGTATGACATTGTATTCTATAGAGCTGCAGCTAACGATTATTTTCAAAATCGATTAGCCGATTATTAAGTTCGATTAATCGGTTAAAAAATAAAATACATTTAAAAAAATGGCTCCAGTGATGGGACTTCTAGTTTGTATTGAGATTGCAGTCCATCACAGGAGCAAGCTTGGAGCAGTAGAAGTAAAAAAGAAAAAAAAGTGTGGTGTACAATATAGTGAAATGAAAAGTGTAAAATTATACAGCAATGAATGCAGAATACCACCAGCTATAGAGGAATACAACAAATCCCAGCAATAGTACATTATAGCTGGCGGTATTCTGCATTGCAATGTATAATGTACTATTGATAGGCACCTTAAAACAGAAAGGGCGGGGGGGGGGATTCCGCTAACAAGCATAAACAATGTACAGAAAGACTCCAACTGAAGCTCAATTTTTGTGACAACCCAGTTTCTATGGAAACAGTCTGCTCAAACAGCATTTTTGTCTTGTCCATGTTCTGCATGCTTACTGTTAAATGGGACATGCCTAGATTTTTTTTGTGTGGCATTATAAAATGAGATATGTCCAATTAGCCGACATTATTAAAGCTAAAATCCCCCAAAAATATTTATCATTGCAGTGGGTCCCCCTCCCCACTTCAAGGGTTACCTGTTCATTTTGGATACTAAATAAGGAGATATAACTGAGATATAACTACCTTATGCCTTGCTGCTGAAGCTTTCCTCTTAATGCAAGAGGCCTCCTGAAGCCTCTTCCCTTCACTTCCTGACTGGTTGCAGCTTTTACACTATTGGATACAAGGCAGGACCCAGCAGTCCTACATTGTACGGGAGGACGCAGAAGGCCCATCCACATTCCACAGAATCAGATCGTGTAGAGAGCCAGCTGCCAAGGGAGCGAGGCATAAGGCAAGTATATCCATTACTTGTCATTTCCTTGGCAAAAAAAGCAGTTAACTCCTGCAGTGGGGAGGGAAACCACAAAAAATACATAAATTATGTACAGGTAATGAAGTTACTGTCAAGAATGAAAAGTATATAAAACACACATACAATCTCGCGGACACCAGAGTACCGGTGCCTTGCGCCCAGATTATAAGGAAGAAAATAGGTCACCAGCACTCCATAAGTTAAAATGAATGAGTCCTTTTAATGGACAATTATGTCACAGAAATCCAACATAAGCCGACGTTTCGGGGCCACACAGGGTCCCTTCAAGGCAAGAGATGGTCACATCTCTTGCCTTGAAGAAGGGACCCTGTGTGGCCCCGAAACGTCGGCTCATGTTGGATTTCTGTGACATCATTGTCCATTAAAAGGACTCATGCACCCACACATGCATCTGCTAAACCAATGAGATAGCCCCGGCGACTTCCAGGTGACTTTTTAGTACGTTCATGGGATGTGTCATCAATCTCTCCAATCCACCCAAGGTTGCAGAATAAATCTAGATCACACAAGGGCCTTCTGATTAAAATTAGAGTAGTACCATAATACACAATTTTCACAAAGTAGATCTTGGAAGAAATACAGTAGTACTAGCAACTTTGGCAGTTCTATTAATTTTTTTTTTTTCTTCAAAATGTATATCATTAACAGCCAGCATGTTGACAAAGGCCACATACATTATATGTGCAACAAATTACCATTCAAAAGTTTGCCAGTCAAACCTTTTTTTCTTAGTTTTAAATAGACTGGGGAATGTTAGAACTTTTGTTCCTTTTGCAGATTTTCCCTCCCTTTCTGTCTGCTGAAACCTTGTCAGGGCAGAAAGCAAGTACACTGAATGCAACCATGGATATTGCTAAAAAGCCCCTTCTCCATTCAAAACTAGAAGGAAAAAAAAAGGCTTGACATACACTTTATTTGCACCCCAATGCACATTAACAGTGCACTGCAACACACATCTGTATACTGTTATGCTGAAATAGTGCAGGACCTATTTTCTCCCATGCACTGAGATATGCCGACAGCTGAAAAGAAAAGCATTGAATGCATGAATCGTGTGTGCTGCAGTACACAGCATTACTGTATGAATGTGTGCTCAGGTATCATGGACAAAAACAAATGAATAAAAGTCAAAAACGGAACGGGTTATACAATAAATGTGACAGAGGTTTTCTTACCCTCATGCGGTGAGGTTTTCAATCTACTACATATGCCGTATACATCTCCATAGCATTCGTGAACTTTCTGTAATGCATCTGTGGATCGTAATTCCATAAGATCCCGGAGTTCTTGAACAGTGATCCCAAAGTCTCCACCATGGTTAGTTTCATTTATAGAGTTTTTTACACCACTATATGCAACCGAATTGTTCGCCATTTCTGCCACAATCTCTTTGGGCAGGCAAATGGGCAGAGAAGGTCCAGAAATCCAGCTGGGAAGAGGTCTTCACAGCTAAATGCAACAAAGCCTTTTGTGGACAACACTATATTGAGTGCATTTTAAGGAATATTCAAAAAGCTTGAAGGGTAATTCCACAGATATGTCTTGAATACTGTTCCTTGGTAAACGTAGACATCATTTCATGAAATTGTAGCAAGAATACTCTAGGAAGAAAAAAAAACAAAAAACAAATGCTTTATTTCACAGCTACTACAATCAGATTTGTAATAAGTGTATGGTCAGTCTAAACATTTCCAAATCCTGCTGACTTTGGCTGAGATTTGAGCTGTGTGGCGTCTTTTGGGCATTCTGATAGCTGGCACCTGCCACCAATAGATGGGAAGGTGAGACTCCTCATCCCCCCCCCCCCCCCCCCTTTCTTTTTGGGGGTAAGAACCATTTCTGTTTAGCGTGAATAGGGGGAATCAAGCGCTTTTCATGTTCAGCCTATGGGGCTGAACGAGGAAAGACTACCACTGCATGGCCAGCTTTAGACTTACTATTAGTACGGTGGACTTTAATGCATCATAATACCATTCGTAATCACACATTATTGCCATGTACACCTGTGAGAAATAAAAGCCAACTCTGCCCTACCTCACTTGTAAAAAATCAAAATGTGCACAATATTCCAACCTGATTTTAATGTTAAAATAATTTAAAATTAGCATAGTGGTTATTGTCTTGCAAAAATATGATTAGCATTTCCAGATATCGATATTACATTACGTAGAAGAAAACCCAATTTTAACACTCAAGTAACTATAGAAAGTACCCATTCATATAGGTGGGCACACGTGAGGTGCACCTGCTGGTGTGCGTTGCATTGTACACTGTATATCACAGTGCTTGGGGGGGGTCTCTTGGGGAAAAATTAAACTTGACGATCTATTTAAAGTAGAACTATGAGATGAGTGATTTCCACTCACCTCATAGTTCTAGCCGACCTGTGACAATGAGACTGTCACAGGTCGGCTCAGTAGATCGGGAGGTGAGCGAACACATACCAGGTTCGCTCGCCTCTCGATCCTGTCACAGCTCTCTGCCGTGACAGGGGGAGGGGCTGGATTCCCCTCTCCCATCTGCCAGCGCTGACTGGCGGAAAGGAACTGGGGAGGGGGCGGGTACAGCTGGCTCTGCCTCTAGATAGGCAGAGCCAGCTGTCACTGACGCAGCTGGGCGGATCCCGTCATCTACGCCGGGATCCGCTCCAGGTGCGGCGTCTCAGTATATTGCGAGCTGTAGCTCGCGGTATACTGAGCTTAGGGTAATGGGAGGACGCTAGTTTCTGTCCTCCCCTAAGGAGAACTATGGGGAAAAAACACTGACCCCATAGTTCTCCCTTAAAAGATGCACGGCAGCATGTTACGAGTTATAGCACATTGCAAAACACTGGAGCAAAAATGCAATGCAGTGCATTAGTGTGAAAAGAACCAATGGGATATAAGGCAAATTGCCATGTCTATGGGTTGAGAATGCTTGACAAATGCAGGGCTGGTATGAACAGGCCCCTGTGTTCAAATAAGCAGTCAGATATTTGTTTATTACAAAGTGAACGTACATAGGAACGAATGTAGTATAACCAATATTATCAGGCATTCCTTTTGTGGTACAGTCACAGAATTGTCCATAATTAAACATACATTGGTGGGTGTGTTTTTTTGTTTTTGTTTTAAGAATTTCAAAATGGGACAGATGCACACTTTGTTTCTTTAATATCCAAGATTGCAAGCTTCCAATGACAATTTCCTGCTAGCATGTGCCTAATTTAAGTGGAACTATTTTAGGCAGAGGATGACAAACACCAAATGTCTTTAGCTTAGCTTGTAACCCTGCTATGAAGGAACAGAAAGACAAGAGATTCTTATGCAATAGCTCCCAGTTTAACCCTGTATCATATTCTCTCCAAGAAAAGAACGCTTACCATTCATGCTTCCAAAATGCACTAAATAAGAGGGCTACTGTTAACACACTAGTTATAAATAAAGCACATTTCAATAAATATTGGTTATTGTTTTTGCCGGGAGATCAGGCTTGAATAAAAGGCTTTGATGGATGTTTAAAAAGCCAACGGTTAAGTAATTTTAAACCACTGCCTGAGATTAAGCTTCTGCTGCTGCTATTCTCTGCTAAGCATTTGACCTTCAACTGCACATTATCAGCAGCGAGCTCCAGCATAAGAAATGGCTCCCTAAATGATTATCTAAGGAAAGCTTCTTGGTTAATCTAATTAGTTCATCTGAGGCCTGACAAACCCATGTAGTATGGGGTTAAGGAACACAGCAAAAATTAGAGCAACCCCAACTGTATATGAAACACGACAAAATACTTGTTAAGAGATTCAAACATAATTCATGAATGACCAGGTAATTTACAGAGATCAAGCACCAAATCTCCAGCTATTGACTGTAGCCTAAACCACTCAGGAACATAAGCAGCAAAGCGCTGAGCTAGACCAATATTACTGCAGATATGGAAGAAAGCTCATTTCTGAACCAGGAAAGGACCCAGGTGTTCCACTGCAAGTGTGGGATAAAATTGGCAACAAATATGTACACACAAACATATACCGACGTGTGCCGTCAGTATATGAAAAAAAAAAAAAAGGAAAAGTGCATGTATTTTAACCTGTAAAGCACTGCAACCAGGATCTGTTGATTGGAGCTGCAATATTCTGCCTCTTGCAGACTATTCAGCCAGCCCCAGACCTTCAGTTATCAATGGACTAGAAGTGTGGTGATGTTGTAATCTCCAATGAGATCTATGAGTCCCTCTGTCACAGTGGCAGATGGGACTTTTTCATTCACAGATCATGTGAATCCTGTGGTACTGCCATGCAGAATCAATAGAATACAAAACCATACAGGGAGAATTGCCAAGTGGCTCAGAGAGCCCCTAAATAGAGATGTAACATGAAAACTTGAAATCGAAAAGGTGGAGTATGCTTTTAAGGAGGGAATTTCCCCTACCTTTGGAGAGATTTCATCATACTCACCTGTTGTGTTTAAGAGATAAAAGTAAAGAGAAGAGAACTGTCCCCTAAGGGGCAAAGCAAACAATACATTTTTTTTTTTTAAATGTATGTTATGTATTATACTTAGAATAGGAAGAGACATAATATAGCAAAGCACAATCCAAAGAACAATCCTTGCTCTATTAAAACCAAAAAATACAAGTGATTTTGTTCTCTGAATTATATATCCGTGCCTTTCCCTTAGGCCCCATTCACACTGAGCAGATTGCAAATCACGCGTTTGTTGCGATATCGCGCAAATTATTGCATTGGACCGAGTACAATCGCATGACATCTGCGCCAAAAAAGGGTCCTGCAGTAGCGACGCGCGACAAGCATAGCTCCATTGACTTGCATTTGACAGCGATATCGCGCGGATCACTCAGTGTGAATGGGGCCTTACACTGTGCAGTGAATACTTGTCAGACAGTACATGAGATGAACTATATGTATCTGAAACGTTTCACATTTTTCAGCACTATCTGACTGAACTAATATTTTCTGCATGTTCAACTCAGTTCCCAACAGTGCATATTGTCCGGGCTTTTTCTTTAGAATCCTATTTAAATAAGTACAATTTAAACACATCTGCATTTTAAATATTAAATATGCTACACCTGGGCAGCATCACTTTTGTGCAGTGTGCTTCAACAGAGGCAGAGCTTCTTTGGGGCGTATATGCCGCGCGTATCCATTAGGATACAGCCGGATAGCCCTTGGAAACGCACATTTGTTGCGCGTTTACCGCAAATCGTGGTAAAACCGCGCTGCACGAAATGCGCATATTCTGTACGTCCAGGTGTGAACCCAGCCTTAGTGATGATATGGTTTCAGATTCCTCTCCTGTATCTGGCTTATTAACAAGGCAGCTATGAGTAGCACAGAAATTTACATATTTCAAGGCTGGTACAGACAGGCTTGAGCCACACCAAGAAAGCACCCATGCTGTGGAGGAGGTAGAATAGAACAAATTTAACTAAATAAAACAAAAACCCCATACCATAATGTTATATCCAAGCGGCTACACACAACACACGCTACCACTGCTCAACAGACTAAGGCTGCTCAGGAATCAAAGTTCTAAGCACTGGATGGTATTTCCTTAGGAGAGTACAAATGTTGGTGTATCCAAACCTGAAAATCTCTGGCAACCGCTACTCCTTCCTTAGGCCCCATTCACACCTGACCGTTTTGTAGCGCGTCCTACGCTCGATGAACGCTCTACAAAAACGGTAAAAAAAATAAATAGCATTGTAGTCAATGATATCGTTCCCACCTGTCCGTATTTCCGCCCGTCCCGAACGCACTACAAAACGGCCCACGCATGAAAAGGTCCTGGAGCGTTTTTGCTGCGTATTGGTCCGTTTTGTAGGGCGTTTTCCATTTGTATACTGCCAAGTAGCCTTTGGAATCGCGCGACTTTTTTACCACGAATCGCGGTAAAAACGCGCGACAGACGCGCATATTACAATACGCATAGGTGTGAATGGGGCCTTAGTCTCACACTGGTTCTAAAGCAAAAAGATAAATCACATAAAAGTGGCAGAACACAAGCTGTTGCAGCTGTAAAAGAACCACCAAATGCAAAGTTTTTCTTCCACTTTTGAAAGCATATATGTTTCACATAAAGATAAAATGTATATATTTAATGAATCTGCCTATCTTAAAAGGAGAACTATGAGATGAGTGCTTTTCACTCACCTCATAGTTCTAGCCGACCTGTGACAATGAGACTGTCACAGGTCGGCTCAGTAGATCGGGAGGTGAGCGAACACATACCGGGTTCGCTCGCCTCTCGATCCTGTCACGGCTCTCTGCCGTGACAGGGGGAGGGCGGGAGTCTCCTCTCCCCGCTTCGATCTGCCAGCGCTGACTGGCGGAACGGACGGGGGAGGGGGCGGGTACAGCTGGCTCTGCCTCTAGATAGGCAGAGTCAGCTGTCACTCACGCAGCTGGGCGGATCCAGTCATCTAAGTCGGGATCCGCTCCTGCGTCTCAGTATACCGCGAGCTGTAGCTCGCGGTATACTGAGCTTAGGGTAACGGGCGGACGCTAGTTTGTGTCCTCCCGTTACCCTAAGGAGAACTATGGGGAAAACACTGACCCCATAGTTCTCCTTTAACCCAAATTCTTGTCTACACCTTTTGAAAG